ACAGATTCAAAGGCACCGTGACAACTCTCCTTAAGAATACTTTAAAACAGGGATGTTCCTTTAGTTTTTTACCTTTCATCAGTCTTCCGACTTCACCAGGTAATACCTATGGTGTAAATCCTTTAAGCTGCCCATGGTTCTTCCAAATGCTATGGAAGATGCTCCATAGGGTGGGCAGGTTTCATATCCTTGCTCGTTTTCCTACAGACAGCTGAAAGCTTCTCAATTTGCCCAAAACCTGCCCTTTTTTGCTGGTGCACCCATGGCCGTGCAGTGATGGGCGCCCAGTCCCATGCGGGGCTGCGGACGAGGCTGCGTCCCACCCCGTTTTCCTCCCAAAGAGACCCCAAGTGGGGCAGGGTTGGGGTTATCTGCGCTAAAAGCCTCGTCTGATCCAGCACAGTAATTACTGCTCTTCTGGAGCCTCCCGTGATGACCAAATGAGCAGGAACCTCCCCAAGGTGCTCCCGATGCGACAGCGCTGGGGGGGATGAAATGAAAGGAAAATGGGTCAGGAGTGGGAGGCCGGGGCTGAGGCAATTCCCGGTGGTGCCAGGGTCCATTTAGGAGGCAAAGCAGCAGCACATGACAGAGGGTGGATAAGGCAGTTTGCGCTGTCCGGACCGAGCAGACTGGCCTTTCCACCGGGCTCCTCCTCAGCCCCTGCAGCGCAAACACCTCCTGTGTCTCCTGCCACCTTCGGCTGCTTTCCTGCCTCTGTTTCTGCAGCGAACCAAGGGGCAGGAAAGTGGAACAGGGATTCTTACAGGAGGTGGCTCTTTAGCATTGAAAAGAAACCAACAAACTTATAGACTGTATCTGTCTGCTGTTGAAACTCATTTTGGGTGGGTGTTTTTTTGTAGTTATGGGGCTTGAATTACCTGGGTCATTGACACCAAGAAAATGCTGCATCGTGGGGGTGCTTCAGCCAATTTAAGGCTCTGTACAGTGGAAAATCTCAAGGGGAATAGGGGACACTTGTGCATGGACAGATCCATCACCAGGTGAGAAGCATCCAGACGCATCCCGAGGTGCTGCAGGACTTGGAGCAATGGCTTGGTCTTTGTCTGAACTCATTTCACACCGCAAAATAAAGCTGAGTTGTCACAATTTAACAGATCTTCTTTGGCTATCAGCAAAAGTGAAGCTATCCTTATGGGAAATACTTCTGAATTTCGGGGTATAATTTTAGCCTTTGCTGAAAAGAATCAAATGAGAAGCGTCTGAAGGTGTTGGGATGAAAACGTTTCAAGGAGACATCCCGAATAGCACTGGTATCACTTTTGCTGCCTGCCTCAGCGGTTACTGGGAAGCTTCACTGCGATTATGGGGTCAGATCTTGGGTGTGTATTCAATGTATGGAATTAGTATTGCTACTTATGGCTTATGCTATGAAAATGTGGCGATGCTCGGGTGGCCAGAGCGGGATTTCTTTGCAATGTGAAGGAGGCTGGGCAGGAAAACCGAAACGATGCCTCCTGGCTCGGCGCGCTCGGGTTCTGGGTAACGAGTGGGCTGGGGCAGTTTCTCCGTCTGGGGATAATCGCAGCGTGGTCGTTTGCTGCCCGTGACGCTGTGCGCTCCGTCTGAAGCCGTCATCTCCGCAGCGAGCCCTTTGTCACCCTCGCAAATGGCACTGGGTTTACCGCCTGATTTGCAAACGTTTTCGGTTCTGGCGCTTTGAGTCGGCTGCGCTAACAGGAAAAACCTCCTCTGCTCCCTGCTGCTGCGGCTCCTTGGATGCTGCATGCAAAGCATGGAATTTAATGGGCTCTCTCATACGCGAAGGAATGCATTAACTACAGGTCAGCAAAGTCTCTTTATTGAGTTGATTTAGCACCGAGAGCTGTCATTACCCTCTGCTTTTAAGGCAGCCTGCTTAAAGGTAATGATTTTGTCTGTCCAAAGCCGTGCCGATGCCGACACCACCTCTGCCTGCGAGTGTTAATGTGCAGCACAGCCGCATTGACCTCGGCTCACCCTGGGCACGGCTGCCTCTTGGGGAATGAAGAGTTTCTGTTCGTCTTCTCTTTCCTTCACGCTTGTCACGGATCGCCATGTGGTTTTCCTGGGCTTGTCATTCATTCAAATTAATTCAGAAGAGATTTCATTTTTTTTTCCCAATTCCCCTTTAGGATTGAAACCCCAGACTCTCCTATAACAAGCGTAGAAACCATGACTCTGAGGCTATTTTTATTCCCTGACACAATCCCATGCGTTTTCCCACGATAATCTTTGCGACCAGTGTGGGAATTTGTATCAGGGCTGAGCCATGAATTGTCTAAAATGCCTTTTTTTATTTCCTCTTAGGATGGGAAGGCAAAGAACACACCAGGGGATGGCCGTGTTCACCAGTGCGGAGCACTGCAGTACCAACTCATTGCAAGAGATGGTGTCCAGAACTTTGGGTCTCAATGCGTTTAGAAAGTTGATCCTACATCACCCATCGGTCTTGAGCATCTGGGGCAGAATCAAGGAGTGAATCCAGATCATCAAACTTTCCCCCAATTAAAAGGTAATTGGTGGCATCGTGGTCTTTCAGGCACCAGACGGCTCCTCATGAACACTCAAAACCCCATCAGTTACCAGGCAGGGAGGTGTTTTTTACCTGATGGACGTGGCGTGCATCACCCTGGGCATCTCCTGATTTTCTGTGGTGCTCATCAAGGCTGTGTCTAAGAATTCCTTGATGCCCAAAGAGCGCCCTGGCCAAGGCAGGTTTCCATAACGCAATCGCATTATGAAATTACGTTTCACGCCTGTTTGTTATGGTGTGCACACACAGACCTTCATTGCGTACCGGTGGTGTTCGCTCTGCTCTGACACCGCACACCAGAGGACGTCTGCAAATTTTGGGAGGGTTATCCTAAATAACCCCATGTAGGGTCCATGTGGGGAAACCTGTACTGCAGCACAGAAGCACCTTGCTCCCCTTTATCATAAGCTATTTTAAACGTGGCTTATGCTGATGCAGAACAGGGCGCTCCTATTTTGGAATAATTTTAAATAGGGATCGTTTCTGTGCTTTCGACTCACACCCTGCATTACCCAAACCGCCTTTGAAGTGTAAAGGAGCCTCTAATGTGTCTGTAGTATTTCCATGCTCTTCCTTTGGGAAGGTCCAGAGCTAAACCAGACCTGCAGAGCCCGTCCTTTCGGTCTTTGCTTTCATAGGCTTCACACCAAGGGACATCTCCAACCCGATTCCCAATTTAAATGCATCCCTAAGCCTTTGAAGGCAGCATTTAGCTGCGAGTTTCTGACTCCGAGCCATCCCCGCTAATTATGTCAGTACAGAAAATGTTTCCTTTCACACTTTTTGGAAAGGGAGATCCCTTTGGAAGCCTGTGGTCCCTTTTGGGGCCATTTGATTACTACCACAAGCTGCAGACAAAACTGATGGGTATAACTCTGACACAACGAGCGCTGCTGTGACGAACAAGAGCACCAATATCATGCAGTGCAATCTGCTTTCTGGCTCGTTAATCCTTTTCTAACAGTTCCCATCATTTCACTTCTATTTCCAGCCTCCTGTGAGGCCGTTTTCAGAGTCCTACCCTTCATAAAGCCGCAAACACAGCAGTTAATTTAGAGAGCTTAGTTGCGTGTAGATTAGCAGGGTTATTTTATCTGCTGGTTTATCCCTCGCACCAGCTCTTCACACACAGGTTTGGATGTGACCGTGCTGAGTGAAACATCTGCACAGACATCGTTTCGCTGCTCATCTCCAGCATCCCCAGAGGTGCCCTGGGGGTCTGGGTACCAGCACCAGCTCCCGGCATCCTCTGAACTGCACGGATCAGCAAATGTCAGCCCCAAAATTGGGAGATATTTCCCTAAATCCCTACAACACTGCAGCGTACGACCACAGAGCAACAAGGATCCTCGTTCACAAAGACAATGGAGGTGCTTTCTTCAAATAAAAAGAGGTTTATTAAGGTAATGAGAATGACATTGCGGTGTGGGTTGGTGTACATCTATTGCAGCATTAAGAGAAACAACAGCAAGTACAAAATCCTGCAGAACTTCAACAGTCATCATCATCATCATCGTCACAGCCTATCTTGTCCATGCTACAGTTCTGTGTGCCCAAAACTTCATTCCCATTTCTAATGGCAGAGAATCCAAAGACTTTCATCTTTCAAAGAAAAAAAACAAACCCCAAAAAAGGCAAAACGAAACAAAAAGAACCCCGACTCAATTTGATATAAATAACCTGCACTGGACATCTTAAAACTTTCCGATTTTTAATTACACATAAATAAATATATACAGCTTTAGAACAGTTCAGTTTGGCCTGGTTCAAGTTCTGCTCCTTGTGCTTTGTTAATTATTATTATTAATTTTTAGAAACCCCTGTGCTGTAGGTGGTGGCGCTTCACTTAGGCCTGGGTTTAGCTCCCCCTGCGGCGCAGGGAGGCTGGCGATGGGCTCCTGCCCTGGCCGCGCCGTTTGTGTCCCCCTGGGGAAATCCACCTCGGGTCGTGGTTTGTAAACGAAGCTTGAACCGGATTGAAATCCGGAGCAGCTCTGGATCAATCCACTCCTGGCTTTGGGACTGGGTTGAGATGAGAACGGGGAGTATTCCTGCCGATAGCCCCAGGTTCCAGCCCCCGACTGCTGCTCCTCTGGTTCCTGCGTCGCCCGGAGCGCGCCAGGATTTCACTGCGGGTTTTGAAAACAACAGAACAAAACAAAATTGCACATGACTTGGCTTCCTGCATCCACGATTTAAAAATTTAAAAAAGGCAAACCCCAAAAGCCATCAATCTGGCTTGTTTTCTCAGTCTCTCCACGTCCGTTAGAGCTGTTTTCTTCTTAGATCTTTCAAATCTTCCCTTATTTTTTTTGTCTTTTTGCTTGCTTTACGAGTTTCATCCCAGGTTCAAACGTCGCAGTTCAGAAACCGGCGCGGGGTCGTCCTTCCCACTCCGGTGCTGCTGCACCTTCCTACGGCGACCGGGGATGCTCCCGCGGGGGCGAGGGAAGGGGACGCCGCGTTATTTCCGGTGCTTCACGTCTTTTTCGGAGCCTTTGGAGTCCGCGGCTGCGTGCCCGTTGCCCGTGCTGTTCAGAAACATTTTATCCAGCCCCTTCAGCGACTCCAGCAGGTAATTCTGGAAAGCCGTCAGCGCCGCGCAGATGGCCGGGCCCCCGAAGCCGTGGGTTATCAAACTGAAATGAGTCAAACAGCTCTGCACGCCGGGCTCCAGGATGAGCGAGGGGCGGCTGTTCCCCAGCGGCGAGCGGTCCTGGGCTATCAGATCCGCAAACTCTTTACAGATTTGCCTGCAAGAGAGAGGTTTGTGTTACTGCAGGTGCTGTTGGACGAGGGGATGATTTGGGGTCATTTTTCCCTGCTCCGTGCCCATGCAGCTGCCTCCCCTCTGGGATTTTTTTTCGGCTCCAGCTTGGGGAAAACCCCTGGATGCGGATTTGGAGCTGGTTCAGCTGCTGCTGCTTCAAAGGGGAATCGTAAAGCAGTGCCAAAATGCACCCTGGGGTTTGGTCAACCTCTCCTGAGCAGGAGCGAGCCCTTCAATCCCTGCCAACGGTTCACCTTGCTCCAGCATATGAGGCCATCTCTTACCCACAGAAAAGTGAGGTTTTTGGGGCTAACGCTGCCCTTCCAGGGCTGGTTGCCCCCGTACTCACTTGGTAGCCAGCAGCATGTTTTTCCTGGTGTGGAGCTCCGTGGGGTCCGAGTGCTGTCGGCACAGGTACTCTGCCGCCGCCTTGGCCGGGAACTCCGTTTCACACACGTACCCAAAATCCCGAGCCAGGTGAACGGCTTCACCTGCAGCAGGACAGATCAAGAATTCATCACCTTTCTGTAGCCAATTCAACCATTTCACTGCTTTATTTCGGCCAGGACCTGAGCACTTTCCTTTCTCAGAGGTGTTTCTTACTTGGCCACATCCCTCATTGCATCTTTTTCCCCCCATTTCTCCCAAAATTTTCTGCTTGGCCTCTCTGAATGGAGCAGAGATTAAAGCAGAGGCTGGAGGGTGGAAAACGCGACCTGATGTGAGAAAGGGGCAGGAGGAAGGGGTTTCCAGGGCCCTCGGGCTGGCAGCGTATCCATCACCCCGTGGAAATGCCCACCCATTGATGGGATTGATCCATCTCCGGGCGTCCCCGTGGAAATAATCAGAGCTGATGGCAATTGATCACGGCCAGCACCCGAAATCCCGGCCGGGCGGGCAGAGCTCATTTGACTGGCCCCCCTGCTGCTCACACGTATTAGGCCATCCATCCTAAGAGCATTAACCCAGATCCCATCGCGGTCGCCCCAGAGCTCGGTCTGTGAAGCCATGGTATGGGGAAAGTGGCTGTGCTTCCCCTATAACGATAACGCTTCTCGCTTCATCTCCTCCTCCAGAGAAGGAGCAAATAAGGTAAACCTGCAGAATCAGATCTGCAGTTGTCTGTGTGTTAAAAAACAACCAGAAAATAAGAGAGGGCGAGTGCTCGGTGTACGGGGGCTCCCCAAAGAAGCTGCATCCCTTCCTGCAGCCCTCGCAGTGCTCCCTGCGTGCCCCAGCACCCCTTCTCCCCATCTACAGGAATGGCTGCGGGTCAGTGCATCATTAGCACTCAACAATACACCCGGGGTGTCTTCTTAAATAAACAGACATTGGGAAGGCAGAGGGGGAAAAGAAATTAAACCCGGGGCATAGGGGCACGAGTTTCTGCGTGCTGAGTAATGGCAACAGCACCTTCCTCCGGGTGAAACCAGTGCCGTAACACTCGTGTGCAGGAGGAGATGATCTCCATCAAACACACATGGCACCGCTCTTTCATTTACTGAGAGCAGTGACCACAACGTTGGCAGCCACCTGAACCCAAAAATGCACATTTCTTCCTTCCCTCCTTTCTTTCGTTCTTCTCATTTCTTTTCTTTTAATGGAAATCGGCTTTTCATTCA